TATGAATGAAAAAGGAAGGATTTACTTTATTTATATTTACTTTATAATTTATAATTTATATTAAGTTTTAATGATCTAACCATTAAACTAAAAGTTTTTAATATATAAGTTAAGTTTATAAATTTTTTAAAAAATTAAAAATATTTAATATTTTGTTTCATTAATTTAAATCGATAAATAATTATAAAAATATTTTGTACATTGATTTGAATTTATATAATAAAATATATAAAAAAATATTTTTAAAAATTTGTAAACTTGTTCTATATATTAAGAATTTTTAATTTAAATATTGAATCATTAAAATTTAATATAAAACATGACTTGTTAAGTGAAGACTTATTCTTATAATAAGTAGATCTATTATATATATATATATATATACACATATATATATACATATATATATATATACATATATATATATATACATATATATATATACATATATATCAATTATTATATATTAAATATGAACCACTATTTTAATAAGAGTAATTTTAGAGACTTTTCTTTAACAAAAAAATTTATAGAGATTCTTTTAACTTTTTTATATTTTATGTCCCTATATGTATTGCAATGCATGAGAGTTTTGAAGTAGTTGAATTATACTTATGATTTTTGTTGCATAGTAATTGTACTATACTATATGTATGATTTGTCTGGGTCGTTATACTATTAATATCCAAATTCATCTCGATTTTGATGGAGAATATATAATTTGACCGGATATAAGTATGGGTAGGGATGACATAAGTTAATTAGTCCTTAATTAAACAGTGACCTATGATTTTACTTATTTAATAAAAATACCAAGTTTAGACTTTTATAAAAGTCTATTTATTTTAAAAGACTAAGTTTATACTTATTAAAAAGTTTGATAGGCCTAATACGTCAATTTATTCATCAATATGATATAATAAAATCAATATTAGTGATAGAATTAAATAAATAATTTTATAAAACAAAGAAAAATCAAGAAATCAATATTATTTAAGCGTTTTATATTTTTGATACAAAATCAAGGAATAGAAAATAGAAACTCTTTCTTTATCATTATTTAGAATGCTTCAAATGAAATATATGAAATATTTAATTTTTTTTGTAAGATTATTTTCTTTCATTACAGTCTGTATATGAGTGTATGTCAGTGTACATATAGTTATGCATGAGTTTTCCCTCTTATTTTAGTTTTTTTTTATATTTCTATTTTAATCACAAAATTATTATTATTGATATTAATAATAATAATAATATATTATTTTTTATCCCATGAAATTTTATAAATAAATAAAAAGACATGCACACATATTTAAAAATATATGTATTGACTTATTTAAAATTCAGTGTATTGGAATATCTAATGTTATTAATGTGAAATAGATTTTTAAATATGTTATTAGGGCAATAGCCTAAACTTATACTTTAATTGTATAGAACAAGTCTGACATGTATTTTAAAAGCCTAATATGACCTATTCTAATCATTAAGTGTGGATATGGAATAGAACAAGTCTGACATGTATTTTAAAAGTTTAGTATGACCTATTCCAATCATTAGGTGTGGATATGGGTAATATCCGATTTATTAAATCGAGAATAGATATAGGTATATACTTACCCGTCTCCAACTCGTCTCCATTTCTATTCTCGTCACCGCTTTAAATTTCTAAAATACCCTTCAATTTTTGGGGTTACAATATGTAAACAAAAATAGTTAAATCATTTGTTCTGACCCTGATGGGGTTATTTTATGGTATTTGTCTGATGAGATATTTTATTAAAGTTCTTTTTATAAGGTTATTACACAAACATACTCCACAATGATGAGATATTGTCTGCTTTGGACCTAAGCCCTCACGATTTTGCTTTTGGTCATTACCCAAAAGGTCTCTCAATCATTGAAGTATGTTTGTACTATATAAGTTGTTATTTATTGTCTTATTTTAAGAATGTGGGATTTGTTTGTATCACAACAATCCTCCCCTCAAACAAGGGGCCTAACCTTTCATGTAGCGAAATCTGTCTTTATATATCACATTATCATTATCATTTTTTTATAAGGGTTATTGGTTGTCACCGAATCTAACTTGCGGCTCTATTTTATGGTATTTGTCTGAGGGAATATTTTATGAAAGTTATTTTTATAAGGTTATTACACAAACATACTCCACAATGATGATATATTGTCTGCTTTGGACCTAAGCCCTCACGATTTTGCTTTTGGTCATTACCCAAAAGGCCTCTCTATCATTGAAGTATGTTTGTACTATATTATAAGTTGTTATTTATTGTCTTATTTTAAGAATGTGAGATTTGTTTGTACCCAACAATCCTCCCCTCAAACAAGGGATCTAACTTTTCATGTAGCGAAATCTGTCTTTATATATCACATTATCATTATCATTTTTTTATAAGGGTTATTGGTTGTCACCCACTACAAAAAAATATGTATTTAACTGAGTTTTTTTAACGAGGGTTATGCTAACCCTCGGGAACATAAGTAATTAACTGGGGTTTCAATAACCCTCGTTAAGTATTATTAAATTACAGGGGTTAAAATTTAAAACCGTTGGTATTTTTTAATAATATATTATTTTTTAATTTTTTTTTTATTTTTGTAATGATAATTATTTTTTTTTCATTTCCCTCTCTCTTATCTTTTGGTTTCCCTCTCTCACCAAACCCTAAGCCCCCTCCTTCATTCCGCTTCGCAATGGCGAACCCCAACCCCCTTCTTCCTCCGCCACATCGCCCAAACCCTCCCCTCCTTCTCTCCCTCCGACTCCCTCGCCTTCCTCCACCTCTTTCGTTCATACTCGGCGCAATACAACTCGCGGAAGGCGAAGGAATCGAACCCGGCGTGCAAAGTGGAGGTGAAGCGCGGTCATTCTGAAAAAGGGTCAATACTTCGAGACCGAGCAGATGTTCCGCGAAGCAGGCGAATCCTGGCCCGTTATCATCCCCAACCAAGAGCTTTCCCAGACCGCACCCCCCACCAAAGTGCGTTTCCAATTTATTTTTTTATGACAAGCATTTACTAAATGGTAGGGGTAAACTGGATCAACATGGTTCCAATATCTTAGATCACAAATAAATTCAAAGTTTTTAATCTTCAAAACGCAGTAATCTTCCAACAATTTATCCTTGAAGGTGTTGTTCTCCGGCGAGTTGGAGGTTGCCGCTGACGAAGACGAGCATGCAGGCGTTGACGCCGGAGGGCTGGCAGTCGACGGTGGAGATGGAGTGGTGGCACTGCTGGAAAGGGAGGGAAGTGAGTTTGGTGACGATGTAGGGGGCGCCTTGGATCTTCTGGCCCTCGAAGGTGAGCATGGAACCATCCTGATAGAGACCCACCAAGCCTGCTCTGTTGGTGTCGAAGGTGCTGTAGTAGTGCTCTACAAGGCTTGGAAGCAGGGATTGGAAACGGGGGTTAACGGGGGTTTATAACCCCTGGTAGACTATGTCGTTAACGGGGGTTACAAAATCGTGGGTATGCTATGCGCACTTCCGGGGGTTGTCAAAAACCGCTGGTAAATCGTTTGTCACGGATGTTTTCCCGGCGAAAATCACAACCGCAGGAAATACATTTTCTGGAGGTTTTAACCGCGGGTAATGCAAAAAATAACCCACGTTAACTCTATTTTTTCTTGTAGTGACCGAATCCAACCTGTGACTCTATTTTATGGTATTTGTCCACTTTTATATTTTATGAGAGTTATTTTTATAAGGTTATTACACAAACATACTCCACAATGATGATATATTGTCTACTTTGGACCTAAGCCCTCACGGTTTTGCTTTTGGTCATTACCCAAAAGGCCTCTCTATCATTGAAGTATGTTTGTACTATATAAGTTGTTATTTATTGTCTTATTTTAATAATGTGGGACTTGTTTGTATCCTAACAGACCCATCCTAGCTAAGTCTCCTCTCCTTAGTAGCCTTTACTTCACTTTTCCTGTTTCAATTTCATTATATTTGCTCCTTGCAAAATGAATTGTATTTGTGAAATTTTAATTATGTGATTACTTGCTTTATTTTAAGGATTTACTTGATATTTATATAATTCTTATTTTATTTTGAATTTATGTGAAATAAAAATTAATTAATATAATTTGTAATTACTATTCTATATTAAAATTCATGCATTTATAAAAATAAATATTATTCGATGGTTATAAGGAATAAAGTTTGAATTAATTTGTAGTTAGAGATTCACCTTAGGGATTTAAATGAGTAAAAACTTAAGGTGAAATAACTTTTAGTTATTTGTTATTATAATGTTCATTTATCGTGACTAGTCACTACAAGTATAATTCAAATTTTTATATCAAGAAAAAATTAATATATATTGTTCTTACTGGGAATTTGCCGTAGGGTTGATTCTCCAAGCAAGATTGGTGAGCCTCCTTCAGGATACGTCTCGTGTTCCAAGATGGGGGTGGTACCTGCAAAAGAGACTCCGATGCTAAAGTTAGGGTTTGTTTTTGTATGAGTCTCGTATAAGTAATGCACGTACCTTAGTGTGAGTTAGGGTTGCGTTGGGCCTTGGGCCTGAGATAAGATATGATATGATTGGATGGCAGATCTCGTCTAGACCGAGATCTCCTCAAATCAGTTATGATCTGGTTAAGTAACGAGCTGACGTCACACAGCGCGTATCCGAGGTCGTCATGCGTTGCGATGCCGAGCTGGGAGCTCGGCCTTGCAGCACGGATAATACACTAGCCCCCCGAGCTCCAAAGACCATGGGTCGAGGAGTTAAGACCGAGCTCGTCAAGTGGCTGTGACCCTCGTATACGCGTGCTTGTTGAGATGCCATGTGTCGTAACTGATCATCTACCGAGAACGTGCAACTGGCGCGTTAATGGGAGTGACGATTATGTAATGATGGTTTGCCTTTGTCATAATTGTTCTTCAATTAATGTGTCATCAAGCGCGTCCCTGGGCTGACACGTGGCGTGACCGTTTTGAATTTGGGAGAAACCCTTTTTCTCTCCCTCGCGCCTCTTCCCCTTTCACTTTACTCTCTTTCTTGCTTTGGCTTCTCGAGTACGATAGCTCTCTTTTGCCTTCTTGCTTCCGTTCGTCTCCATTTTCACGGTTTCTGTCATCGTTTCCGGTAACCCCGCCATTGTTAGGGTTGTTTTCTGAGGAAGAGTACCAGGTACTTCCTATCTACAGTTTTCTTTTTCCTCATTTCCCAAACTTCTTCGGGTCTTTCTGTTTCTTTAATGGCTGGAGGAAGTGGCGTTGGTTCCTCCGCGCTTGCCAAGGGTAAAGGCAAGGCGCGGGGCAAGGCGACGGCCACTGGAACATTCGCCGCCGAGAAAAAGAAAGAGGTGGCGTCGCCAACGGACCTCGTTCCAGGCATTCCTAGGTACCACTGGGTTCGGCGCGAGATGGCGGAGGCTCAAAGCATTTTTCGGTCCTTTCTCGAAGTCAATGCGGTCTTAAGATCGCACAGGGTTTGTGACCCTTCCGTTTCCTGGATGATCCGGCTTGAACCTTGTCAGGCCGGTGAGGGCGTGTATATGGGGAAGTCTACTGACCCTCCCCATTTCTATGTTTATCAATGCTTCTTTAGGGATTTAGGTGTCTGCCTTCCCTTCACACAATTTGAGTGTGATTTTTTGAATTTTATGAACTCGGCTCCCTGCCAGTTGCACCCAAACAGTTGGGGTTTTTTTAGGGCTTTTCAAGTCCTGTGTTCTGCTCTTGGTATAAAGGTGTCTCTTCCTGTCTTCCTTCATTTTTACCAACTGAAGATAGGTGTTCCACCTTATGGCGTTCTTTCTCTGAGTGGGAGTAGGGATGGGGGTTTATTCACTCTCTACTCCCAGTCATACAAGAATTATAAGCAAGAATTCTTCCGGGTTGCCCTTGTCGATGTTGACCCATTGGAGGATGGGGCGTTTTACTTCGGCGGATTGCCGAAGTTCCCCTTCTACTGGTGCCCCAAGTCGTCTAGGTTTCATGGGGTGGGCCAACTGAAATTGACGGCTTCGGATACGGCCGCCATTGCGAACCTTGCTACGCTTCCTCGCCTACTGGATTGCAAGCTCGTCCTGTCGCTTGCAAATTTGGCGTACAAGGAGAGGGGTCTGGAGAGTGAGTATTTCGTTCACTTTTAGATTATTAGGGTTTGTGGAAACTCCTTTTTCTGATGTGTTTCATTTTTTGTGCTTGTAGGCATAATGGGCAAGAGTAAGTGGCGCGAGCTAAAGCATCGATATAACCCTGCCGAGCTTGAGGTTCCCGAGCCTCAAGAGGAGGAGATGTCCCCCCTGAAGGTTAATCAAAAAAGAAAGAGGGGCGAGAAAGAGGTCGGGGGGACCTCTGCCCCTCGCGGAATGGAGGAGATGACCTCTAAGGCTGCAGATGCGGCTGTAGTTGATCTTACTGGGAGCTCTCCGCCTGGGGAGGCTCCCCAAATGGCCGCTATGGCGACTTCTGAGCAAGCTGCTCCTTCTGCTGAGGTAAGTGTCTTGTCTCCTTCGACTTTCCTTCTATGCTAGTTTCGTTTTTGTTTAATGAGGCGCTATCGCTCGTTGCAGGTGGGGATAGCTGCCAAGGTGGAGGCTCAGGCTACTGAGCAAGGCGCCCTAGCTGTCGAGGTATGCTAATTTTTCCCCTTGCTTTGGTTTTCTGCCTGGTTTTTGCTTTAAAGGAATGTTTTTGTTGTTCTTTTTGCAGGCGAGTAGGGCCGCCAAGGTCTTGGAGACTCCGAGATCGGGGTTGCCAGGGGTCGGCGCTTCTGATGTGGAGCAGGGAGCATCTGCCTATGCTTTTCCCGAGGCTCGCGGGTAGGGGCCATGCACTGAAGTTCCGAGGCCTACCCCGGTATCGTCAGCGCCATCGACTGGCCCGTCGAGGGGGACTCCAAGGACCCAGTACCTCGCCCAGCGCTTCCAGAAAGGAAACGCGGTGGTGAGGTTGGATCATTTGAGCGCCTTAGAGGATATTGACTCATGGTGGAGCATTGGGGTGTCTGCGTCGAAATTTTTTCCCGAAGGGTCCTTGAGTGCGACTGATCAAGCTATGATTGAGTCGGCCGGGCCTGTGGAAGGCCTAGATGCTGCTCAGGTTCTCCTGCAGAGGGGCGTAGCAATTATGGATCACTTGAAGCACAAGTGGTCCAAGCAGCAGGAGGACTTGGCGAAAATGAGGAGTCAGGTCCAACCTCTGAAGGACGAGGCCAAGGATCTGAGAGAGGAGAACCGGTCTTTGGCAGCTCCTCTCGAGGAGGCCAAGCTACAGGGTGAGGCCGAGTTCCAGGCTGTTCGGAGGGAGCTGTAATCCGTCGGAAATGCACTATTACCCACGGATTTTTGGCATTTCCCACGGATTTTGGCCGTCTGTAATAGCGAATTTTCTTGTAGTGATGAGATCATGCGTCCTGCCAGCTTTAGCTTTCTTAATATCTACCTGATCGGGTAATCGGTCTTGACGACGACTTGGTGGCTCAAGAATTTCGTAGGGGGGAATGGCCCGAGGATGTCCATTCCCCATTGGGAGAAAGGCCATGCCGACATCATGCGGTGGAGAGCTTCGGGCGGTTGCCGGTGTGCGTTGCCGAACTGCTGGCATTCTTTGCATTTTTGGATGTGGCTTTGGCAATTCGACTTCAGAGTGGGCCAGTAGTACCCAGCTCGGAGTAGTCTGGTCGCCATTAAGCGTGCTCCAGAATGCATGTCGCATATCCCGTGATGAATTTCCTTGATGACGTAGGCTGCCTGAGATGCCGTCAAGCATTTGAGTAGTGGAGTGGAAACGCCACGTTTGAATAATTCGTCCCCGATGATGACGAACTTAGCCGATCTCATCCTCATCTTCCGAGCTTCGTCCTTACCCTCGGGTAGGGTCCCGTCTTTCAAGTAGTTCCAGATACCTGTCATCCATCCCAAGTCTTCATTGTCACTGACATTGACGACTTTGTCGTTTAAGCTGGGTGAGTGCAGTGTTTCCTGGATGATGGTTCAGTGCTGTCCAGGCCTTTTGGTGCTGGCGAGTTTTGATAGGAGGTCAGCTTGGGTGTTTTGTTCTCGAGGCACATGCTGTATAGTGAACTCGTCAAAGGACGAGATCTGGTGGGTTGGAGCAGAAGAGTGTCTTTTGCTTGATATTTTCCACTGAGTTGTTCAACCATGAGTTTCGAGTCGCTGTTGCAACTCACTCTTCGGGCTTCGAGGTCGCGGGCTAGCCTCAGTCCTACGAGAAGTGCCTCATACTCCGCCTGGTTGTTGGTCACCTTGAAGCTAAACTTGAGGGATTGCTCCAAGGTGACTTGGTTTGGCCCTTCTAGAATGATGCCCGCACCACCCCCTTTAGAGTTGGAGGATCCGTCAACATGCAAGGTCCATACCTGGGGTTCCTCGGCAGTAGTCGGCGTGAGCTCGGCAACGAAGTCGGCCAGGCATTGGGCCTTCAGGGGCCCGCGACTTTCG